TGTTCTACAAAAAGAATAACACAGAATCGGAACATTACTAACCTAAAAACATGGCAGAAGATTTCTCATAAACACATGTGTGCCAAAGCTAGGGCCACAGGGATGAATGACAACTGTCCATTTCCTGGTGTCAGGCCACACATACAGGCACAATTGCGTTTGTGTCCCTAATTTGTTATGTTTTGACTTTGGATGTACATCCACTGGGGCAGACTGTATCCTTTTCCACAACTTTGTCCACTGCACTACAGCAGATAGCAAGTCATGGTAGGAGGATGATTTGTTAAGTTTGTTGATCATGTATTTTGCTATGCAATGACATGATCACAATGTCAATTTAGATATTAGGAACTCTTGGAAGTCCTAATGGGATTGGACCACACTTATCACATGGTATTTGGACCAATCACAGCACCCTGGTCAATATGATTGGCTGCAGACTATATATACCAGATCATAAAAAAGGCCACATGGCAGTAATGTAAGCAAGTCAAGACAATGTTAAACATTTCCGTTACAATGATTCCCAATGTAAGGACATGGCAAGATTGTCAGGATTACTAACCCAAAATCCCCCCAGATGTGCCCTCTCTATAATACTGTATTCATGTGTTAATGTTTTAATAATAACTAGAGATGAGCGAATTTTTCAAAAATTCGATTCGCCTGATTCGCCAAATTTTCTGAAAAAATTTGATTCGATTCGAATTTATTCGCCGCAAATTTTTACTTATAAAAAGGGTTTCTAGGCTTCAGAGAGCCTTTATATTAGTGCAGAACACTGTACCTTTAATTTAAATGCCCTTGGAGTCTGCTGGGGAAGAGAAATAATACTGTCAGTCAGTATGACATGCAGATGAGTGCCGTCGATCTTAGAATCACCGCACACTTCACTCATTTGGGCAGTCACGGGGCCAAAGAAGAAGAAGGAGAAGAAGAAGAAGAAGAATGAAAAGAATGAAAAGAAGAAGAAGAAGAAGAATGAAAAGAATGATAAGAAGAAGAAGAAGAAGAAGAATGAAAAGAATGAGAAGAAGAAGAAGAAGAAGAATGAAAAGAATGAAAAGAAGAAGAAGAATGAAAAGAATGAAAAGAAGAATGAAAAGAAGAATGAAAATAAGAAGAAGAATGAAAAGAAGAATGAAAAGAATGAAAAGAAGAATGAAAATAAGAAGAAGAATGAAAAGAATGAAAAGAATGAAAAGAAGAATGAAAATAAGAAGAAGAATGAAAAGAAGAATGAAAAGAATGAAAAGAAGAATGAAAAGAAGAAGAAGAATGAAAAGAAGAATGAAAAGAATGAAAATAAGAATGAAAATAAGAAGAAGAATGAAAAGAAGAATGAAAATAAGAAGAAGAATGAAAGAAGAATGAAAAGAATGAAAAGAAGAATGAAAAGAAGAAGAAGAATGAAAAGAATGAAAAGAAAAAATGAAAATAAGAAGAAGAATGAAAAGAAGAATGAAAAGAATGAAAAGAAGAATGAAAAGAATGAAAAGAAGAATGAAAAGAATGAAAAGAAAAATGAAAAGAAGAAGAAGAATGAAAAGAAGAATGAAAAGAATGAAAAGAAGAATGAAAAGAATGAAAAAAAGAATGAAAATAAGAAGAAGAATGAAAAGAAGAATGAAAAGAAGAATGAAAAGAAGAAGAAGAATGAAAAAGAAAAATGAAAAGAATGAAAAGAAGAATGAAAAGAATGAAAAGAAGAATGAAAATAAGAAGAAGAATGAAAAGAAGAATGAAAAGAATGAAAAGAAGAATGAAAATAAGAAGAAGAATGAAAAGAAGAATGAAAAGAATGACAAGAAGAATGAAAAGAATGAAAAGAAGAATGAAAAGAATGACAAGAAGAATGAAAAGAAGAATGAAAATAAGAAGAAGAATGAAAAGAATGAAAAGAAGAATGAAAATAAGAAGAAGAATGAAAAGAAGAATGAAAAGAATGAAAAGAAGAATGAAAATAAGAAGAAGAAGAATGAAAATAAGAATAATTCCAGTAAAGCAAAAAGTGTTTCTGCAGAGTTCCTCTATTTCTGACAGTTCTCTGACAGTTCTTTCACATTTACAGCGATTGAAACATTGTATCTATTTGTTTCCTAATAAAAACATCTGTATCCTAAATGGAAACAAATACATACAATGTTTCAACCGCTGGAAATGTGAAGGAACTGTCAGACAGCTGTCAGAAATAGCGGAGCTCTCTGCAGGGACATTTTTGCCGGCTGTAGAAGGGATGAAAACGGCCGATCAGGAAAAATTCGATTTGACCATCCGAAGTCGGCAAAAAATTCGGATTCGCCGCGAATCGAATTTTTCCTGAAATTCGAAACAAATTCCACTTCGCCTGATTCGATTCGCTCATCTCTAATAATAACGTACTATGCATTGTAGAATATTTCTCATGTTCTGTCATCTTATGGGGCCTCACCAAATGAGATAGGCTGTACATCATGGAGTTGCATTTTAGTCCAAAATATTCCATAATTTGGATACTCTGCAACTTTCAAACAGCATACATAACATACACATATCGTAATTTAATTGGTCCAAAAAAGTACAATTCTGTCAAGTGTAAAAACAAAATGTTATGATTGCGATTTTGATGGGATATGTTTGTGAACATCTAAGCCAGAATGTTTTTAGGCAAAAATCTTGCATCACAAACAAACAGCCATTGGGGATCACATGACACCAAACACAGCTCTATTAGTGATTAACAAATGGTTCTTGGCACGGTCCCCCCCCCTCCAGCCTGCTGTCCCTTCCTCCCCCCTCGCTCTCCTTTCATCATCCCCCCTCCCTTCCCCCTTGCAGATTCCTATGGTCCTGCACAAGCCTACATCAAAGGCTCTTCAGGATGGGAGGAAACACCCCCTGTGGTGCGGGTAGCACCTCTCCTCCTCAGAAAAGTTGCCAAGGAGTCGGCCACCCCGCTGGGCCCGCACAGCACAGGCCGCCGGGTTGTCCCTGCATGTTCCCCGGTGGGAACAGCACGGGCACGAGGCTTCCCGCGATCTGCGCCCGCTGGAGACAATGGTCATGCTCCCTGAGCATGGCCCGAGTGAGCGGGGTGTGCCTTGTTGCCCCGGTGACCCGATGCTGGGCCGGCCATTGCCAGGGCAACTGGGAAGCGTCCTGCTCTGGCTTAAGAAGACTCGAGCAGGACCTAGTCCACTGTTGGTCCCCTGTACGTTGCCATGAGCAGCTGTTGTAAGGTCTGAGCTGAGGCCATACCTCCCCAGCTCCAAGAACCCACTGAGTACTCTGCTGATACCTGGGGGGCTAGAGGCACTTGCTATCCGTTGTGTGCGAGGGTACTCCTGCTTGCTACCTGCTGTGTGCCCAAGGATACTCCTGCCTAAACCGTGAGTGCCCCAATCCTCCTGTCTGAACACCCCCCCTCCTGGATCCCCTGAATTTCCCCTGCCTGGACTGTCCCATGGAACTCTCATACATTTTTTGCCTGGATTGCCCTATTGAACCTCCCTATTACTTTTGCCGGAGCTGCCTGCTTGGATTAATAGTTGCTTGGCCCATCGCTACACAAAATTGCCCTATCATGGGCTGAATTACAATTGTTTTGAGCTACTCCCCTCTCCTCCCCCTTTTGGGGTCCCCGGATGCTAAATTCCTACCCTGATTGAGTGCTTTCCATATAACAATAAAACTTGGTGTGTTTAGCATCCTCCGTGTGTGTTCTGTCCTGCCTACGCTTCCGTCAGTTATCATGTCATTTACAAGCAATGTGTGTGGCATGAATGTACAATTGACAGTCACTGGAGATCAGTGTGGAGATGGCAACAATGGCAAGGTCATGAGGTCCAAGCTTCCAGAGCTTGTGCTTACCTTCCACAATGCGGAGTCTCTGCAGGGGATGCCCCCTGTGGTTGGCAGAAGAGGACGGTGGCTGTCCTCCTGTGAGGCTTTTTTGCCAAGCAGACCACCGCCTGGCACCCATCAGCTGTGGCTAGAACAAGTCAACAAAGACAACATTATTGCCAAACAAATTCAGAATGAATGTATCAAAACATTTTTCACAATACAAAAAGGAAAGTAAAGTTTTTAATAACAACTTGACTTACCAGAGATTCTGCGGGCCACTTTTTTTTAAAAGTTGCGGGTTGCGCCGCTTAACATCGCTCCAGCTGTGCTGAATTTGTAGCACAGTAGTGCGATAATGGAATCTCTGCCACAGCCGATGTTTGATGTGGCGCACGATGGTCTGCTTGGCAAAATTCGAGCAGCCACGGTCATACTTGCGTAACAGCATAAATCTGTGGATGACAAAAAAAAGGTCAAGAATTTAAATGTGAGAGGTTTGTGTAATCAAACATACCAAATATCCCACACAAAGCAGGGGATAATTGTCCCAAAAGGAAAGCTAAAACATGAACTATATCTACATGTGTGTGTGTATACACATACATACATACATACATACAGTATAATTGTATTGTATTGTTATTTTCAATGCATTCTCACCTGAGCAATGCATAATTGTGGCAGAATTGCAAAATTGTTGCTGCACTTCTAAATTGTGCTCAATGGTCTTTAAATATGCGTTGTGCTTTTGGGTGCCATTCATTGTTAATGGCACCCCAAGTGCTGTTAGCAAACATGCATTTTGCTGCACATTTTAGCATTTACCAAATATGCTAGGCACGCACCTAAATGAGCATTGAAAGAAAACACAACACTCCATGGGCACAAAAGTTCAATTTTTGCTTTGTTGGACATTTTATTGTTCATTGTGGTGTATTTTGTAATCAACATTTTTGGAGCTTTTTGGTCATCAGATATGTTTGTAAAATGTGGTTTGAAATTTGGATGTGCATGTTTGTCTTGTTTGAGCCTGTATTTTGGATTCTTTTGTATCAGCGAAATGAAAAATTCGATTCGACTGATTCGGCGAATTCGTGGACAATATTCGATTCGAGTCGAATAAATTCGCTGTGAATTTAACTTAAAAAAGGGTGTTTCTAGGCTTCAGAGAGACTTAATATTAGTGCAGAACACTGTACCTTTAATTTAAATGCCCTTGGAGTCTGCTGGGGAAGAGAAATAATACTGTCAGTCAGTATGACATGCAGATGAGTGCCGTCGATCTTAGAATCACCGCACACTTTCACTCATTTGGGCAGTCACGGGGCCAAAACCAGAGTGTGGAGCCACAGTGTGGCGGTGGAGGAGGCAGCAGCAATGGGAGGCCATACAGCACCCTATGACAAAAATGGAAACCACCAGCAGTGTGAGGAGACCTGAAAGTGGCACATGGCAGAGTGTGGCGATAGAGACAGCAGCAATGGGAGGCCGTACAGGGACCCATGACACACTCTGGACCTGGCAGCAGCATGAGGAGGCGGTACAGGGGCCCATGACAGATTACGGGCCTGGCAGCAGCATGAGGAGTCGGTACAGGGGCCCATGGCAGATTACGGGCCTGGCAGCAGCAATGGGAGGCCGTACAGGGACCCATGACACACTCTGGACCTGGCAGCAGCATGGGGAGGCGGTACAGGGGCCCATGACAGATTACGGGCCTGGCAGCAGCATGAGGAGTCGGTACGGGGGCCCATGACACACTCTGGACCTGGCAGCAGCATGAGGAGGCGGTACAGGGGCGCATGACAGATTACGAGCCTGGCAGCAGCAACTTGGACAGGAGGACGTTCAGCTTCTGCACCGTCGGGTGCGTGCTCGCAAACTGTTGTCTCTTGGAAACGGATTCCAAGAAAGACTGCTGACGGAATCCGTGAAGAGGAGTAGCAGGAGAAGGAGCATCTGAACGAGCGGAATATGCCAACAAGCGACAACAGTGGCCCATGACAGATTACGGGCCTGGCAGCAGCATGAGGAGTCGGTACGGGGGCCCATGGCAGATTACGGGCCTGGCAGCAGCTATGGGAGGCCCGTAATCTGCCAGCACCCTATGACAAAAAATGGAACCCACCAGCAGTGTGAGGAGACCTGAAAGTGGCACATGGCAGAGTGTGGCGATGGAGACAGCAGCAATGGGAGGCCGTACAGGGACCCATGAGAGACTCTGGACCTGGCAGCAGCATGAGGAGGCGGTATAGGGGCCCATGGCAGATTAGGGGCCTGGCAGCAGCTATGGGAGGCCCGTAATCTGCCAGCACCCTATGACAAAAAATGGAACACACCAGCAGTGTGAGGAGACCTGAAAGTGGCACATGGCAGAGTGTGGCGATGGAGGCAGCAGCAATGGGAGGCCGTACAGGGACCCATGAGAGACTCTGGACTTGGCAGCAGCATGAGGAGGCGGTATAGGGGCCCATGGCAGATTAGGGGCCTGGCAGCAGCTATGGGAGGCCCGTAATCTGCCAGCACCCTATGACAAAAAATGGAACACACCAGCAGTGTGAGGAGACCTGAAAGTGGCACATGTTTGGGGCATGATTCATGGCGGATTTAGTCAGTTGTGTCAGGAAACTGGTGGTTTGAAATCCAGACTAATCCACGCCTGATTCATTTTCACAAACGTGAGTCTCTCCACACTTTGGGTGGACAGTCGTGTCCTCCGCGGAGTTGCAATACCTCCTGCCGCACTAAACACGCGCTCCGATGCCACGCTACTGGCCGGGCATGACAGCCTTTCAAGGGCAAATTCAGCTAGTTGGGGCCAAAGGTCAAGTTTCGTTGCCCAGTAGTCAAGGGGATTGTCTACCTCGGTTGGCAGGGTGCTGTCCAAGTAGGCCTAAGCCTGTTGTTTGAGGTCCTGCTCCAGGTCCACCTGATGCTGCTGCTGCTGCTGCGGCTGGTTAGTAGTTTCCTCACTGCGCTGGTGAGAAAGCTACTCATCATCGACTGCAGACTGAGGCAGCCGCTGCTGGTGGAGCTGCCACTGCTCCTACCACCCCACCCCTCCCCTGCTGCCATGGCAGCGGAACACGAGCGCACAGGGCCCACAGTGTCTGAGGATGGACGTTGGCGCAGACAGGCAGAGACCAGCTGACTACATAGGTGTTTTTTATAGTACGTTATTTTGGCCTCCCTCTCAGCAGGTGTGAAAAAGGCCACCATTTTTGAACGGTAGCGAGGGTCCAACAAGGTGGACAGCCAAAAGTCATCCCTCTGTCTGATGGTTATTATTCGGCTGTCGCTACGCAAGCAACCGAGCATGCTATGGGCCATTTGTGCCAAGGAATGCGAGGGACTCCCTGCCTCCATCTCCACAGCATACTGCCACGGTGCGTCTAGGTCCTCTGTCTCCTCTTCCTCCTCCTCTACCAGATGCTCCTGCTCCTCCACTCCTGTCCGCTGAGTGGAAAAACCACCCATTTCACTCAATAATTCCTGAGCACCAATGTCCTCCTCTACCTCCTCCTCTTCTTCCAGTCCTGCCCCCACAGGGGCCATGTGGCGTTGAGATCTGTGCGCCACGTCTACCGCACCCTGACCAGCCATTGTTAACAGCATTTGTTCCAGGACGTGCAACAGAGGAATGACGTCGTTCATCCCATAGTCCTGCCGACTCACGAATAGCGTGGCCTCCTCAAAGGGCCTGAGCAAGCGCAGGTGTCACGCATGAGCTGCCAATGGCTGACATCTAAGTTACACAGGGAGTACCTTTATCTGCTTTTAACATCAGGAAATCTGTGATGGCCTTTTGCTGTTCGTAAAGGCGGTCTAACATATGTAGGGTTGAATTCCACCTTGTTGCAACGTCACAGCATGAGGAGTCGGTATAGGGGCCCATGGCAGATTAGGGGCCTGGCAGCAGTTATGGGAGGCCCATAATCTGCCAGCACCCTATGACAAAAAATGGAACACACCAGCAGCAGTGTGAGGAGACTGAAAGTGGCACATGGCAGAGTGTGGCGATGGAGACAGCAGCAATGGGAGGCCGTACAGGGACCCATGAGAGACTCTGGACCTGGCAGCAGCATGAGGAGGCGGTATATAGGGGCCTACGGCAGATTAGGGGCCTGGCAGCAGCTATAGGAGGCCCGTAATCTGCCAGCACCCTATGTCAAAAAATTCAACACACCAGCAGTGTGTGAGGAGACCTGAAAGTGGCACATGGCAGAGTGTGGCGATGGAGACAGCAGCAATGGGAGGCCGTACAGGGACCCATGACAGACTCTGGACTTGGCAGCAGCATGAGGAGGCGGTATATAGGGGCTTATGGCAGATTAGGGGCCTGGCAGCAGCTATAGGAGGCCCGTAATCTGCCAGCACCCTATGTCAAAAAATTCAACACACCAGCAGTGTGAGGAGACCTGAAAGTGGCACATGGCAGAGTGTGGCGATGGAGACAGCAGCAATGGGAGGCCGTACAGGGACCCCTGACAGACTCTGAACTTGGCAGCAGCATGAGGAGGCGGTATATAGGGGCCCATGGCAGATTAGGGGCCTGGCAGCAGCTATAGGAGGCCCGTAATCTGCCAGCACCCTATGTCAAAAAATTCAACACACCAGCAGTGTGAGGAGACCTGAAAGTGGCACATGGCAGAGTGTGGCGATGGAGACAGCAGCAATGGGAGGCCGTACAGGGACCCATGACAGACTCTGGACTTGGCAGCAGCATGAGGAGGCGGTATATAGGGGCCCATGGCAGATTAGGGGCTGGCAGCAGCTATGGGAGGCCCGTAATCTGCCAGCACCCTGTCAAAAAATTTAACACACCAGCAGTGTGTGAGACCTGAAAGTGGCACATGGCAGAGTGTGGCGATGGAGACAGCAGCAATGGGAGGCCGTACAGGGACCCATGACAGACTCTGGACTTGGCAGCAGCATGAGGAGGCGGTATATATAGGGGCCCATGGCAGATAGGGGCCCTGGCAGCAGCTATGTGAGGCCCGTAATCTGCCAGCACCCTATGTCAAAAAATTTAACACACCAGCAGTGTGTGAGAGACCTGAAAGTGGCACATGGCAGAGTGTGGCGATGGAGACAGCAGCAATGGGAGGCCGTACAGGGACCCATGAGAGACTCTGGACCTGGCAGCAGCATGAGGAGGCGGTATATAGGGGCCCATGGCAGATTAGGGGCCTGGCAGCAGCTATGTGAGGCCCGTAATCTGCCTGCACCCTATGTCAAAAAATTTAACACACACAGCAGCAGTGTGAAGAGACCTGAAAGTGGCACATGGCAGAGAGAGTGTGGCGATGGAGACAGCAGCAATGGGAGGCCGTACAGGGACCATGAGACTCTGGACTTGGCAGCAGCAGGAGGAGGCGGGTATATAGGGGCCCATGGCAGATTAGGGGCCTGGCAGCAGCTATGTGAGGCCCGTAATCTTGCAGCACCCTATGTCAAAAAATTTAACACACCAGCAGTGTGAAGAGACCTGAAAGTGGCACATGGCAGCAGCAGTGTGGCGATGGAGACAGCAGCAGCAATGGGAGGCCGTACAGGGACCCATGAGAGACTCTGGACCTGGCAGCAGCAGGAGGAGGCGGTATATAGGGGGGGCCCATGGCAGATTAGGGGCCTGGCAGCAGCTATGTGAGGCCCGTAATCTGCCTGCACCCTATGTCAAAAAATTTAAACACACCAGCAGTGTGAAGAGACTGAAAGTGGCACATGGCAGCAGAGTGTGGCGATGGAGACACAGCAGCAATGGGAGGCCGAGGCCGTACAGGGACCATGACAGACTCTGGACTTGGCAGCAGCATGAGAGGAGGCGGTATATATAGGGCCCATGGCAGATTAGGGGCCTGGCAGCAGCTATGTGAGGCCCGTAATCTGCCTGCACCCTATGTCAAAAAATTTAACACACCAGCAGTGTGAAGAGACCTGAAAGTGGCACATGGCAGCAGAGTGTGGCGATGGAGACAGCAGCAATGGGAGGCCGTACAGGGACCATGACAGATCTGGACTTGGCAGCAGCATGAGGAGGCGGTATATAGGGGCCCATGGCAGATTAGGGGCCTGGCAGCTATGTGAGGCCCCGTAATCTCTGCAGCACCCTATGTCAAAAAATTTAACACACCAGCAGTGTGAAGAGACCTGAAAGTGGCACATGGCAGAGAGTGTGGCGATGGAGAGCAGCAATGGGAGGCCGCCGTACAGGGACCATGAGACAGACTCTGGACTTGGCAGCAGCATGAGGAGGCGGTATATAGGGGCCCATGGCAGATTAGGGGCCTGGCTGGCAGCAGCTATGTGAGGCCCGTAATCTGCCTGCCCTATGTCAAAAAATTTAACACACCAGCAGTGTGAAGAGACCTGAAAGTGGCACATGGCAGCAGAGTGTGGCGATGGAGACAGCAGCAATGGGAGGCCGTACAGGGACCATGAGAGACTCTGGACTTGGCAGCAGCAGAGGAGGCGGTATATAGGGGCCCATGGCAGATTAGGGGCCTGGGCAGCAGCTATGTGAGGCCCGTAATCTGCTGCACCCTATGTCAAAAAATTTAAACACACCAGCAGTGTGTGTGAAGAGACCTGAAAGTGGCACATGGCAGCAGAGTGTGGCGATGGAGACAGCAGCAATGGGAGGCCGTACAGGGACCCATGACAGACTCTGGACTTGGCAGCAGCATGAGGAGGCGGTATATAGG